TAAATTAATAGGGGCACCTGGGTGGCTCAGTCAGTTAAGTGGCCGACTCTTGGTTTTGGCTCATGTCGTGATCTCAGGGTCTTGAGATCGTGCCCTGCATGGGTTTTTCTCTGCTTGGGTTTTCCCCAAATCTACTTGGGTTTTTCTCTCCCTCTCCTTCTGCCCCTCCTCCTCCCTGAGCATATACATGTGTGCACTCTCTCTCTAAAATAAATAAATCTTTTTAAAAAATTAATTAATTAATATGGGGAGTCTGGGTAACTCAGCTGGTTAAGCATCTGACTCTTGATTTCCACTCAGGTCATGATCTCAGGGTCGTAAGATCAAGCCCTGTGCTGGGTTCCACACTGGCGTGAAGCCTGCTTAAGATTCTCTCTCTCCCTCTGCCCTCTTCCCCACATTGTACAAGCATGCACACATGCTCTCACTCTCTTAAAAAAAGAAAGAAAGAAAGAAAGAAATTAATAGACACGTCCCTGAGGAGGTCAGACATTAGATTTATCAGCTAGAGGTTTTTAAATCAGCTATTTAAAATATACTCAAAGAACTATAGGAAACCATGAGAATGTGAAATACACAATATCAATACAGAGAAATCATAAAAAGGAACCAAATAGAAGTTTGGGAGTTAAAGAATACATTATCTGAAATGAAAAATTCAGTAAAAAGATGCAGAAGCAGAATTGAACAAAGAGAAGAAATAATCAGTGAACTTGAACTTGAACTAGATCCCTTGAGATTACCTAGCTGAAGAGCAGAAAGAGAAAATTATGAAGAAAAATGAACACAGCCTAAGACACCTGTGGGACCCCACCAAATGTATCAATATATGCACAACAGGAGACTCAGAAGGAGAGGAGAGAAAGAAAAGTGAGTGAAGAATATTTGAAGAAATAATGGCCAAAAAACTTCCCTAATTTATTAATCTTTTTTTTTTTTTTAAGAGAAAGGGGGGGAGAGAAAGTTATGGTGGGAGGGAGTCTGCTTGAGATTCTCTCTCCCTCTGCCCCTCCCCCTGCTCATGCTCTCTAAATAAATAAATAAATAAATAAATATTTTTAAAAAAAGAACATGCTCCAACTATATACTGTCTACACTTTAGAGCCAAAGACATAAATAGGTTGAAAGTGAAAGGATGGGAAAATATATTCCATACAAATAGTAACCAAAAGAGGGCTGGAGTCACTATCCTAATATCAGAAAAATAGACCCTAAAACAAAAATTATTAAGAGATAAAAAAAGGACATTATATATAATGATAAAAGAGACAATCCATCAAAGATACATCAGTCAAAAAACATAGATTCCCCTAACCACAGAGTCCCAAAATATGTGAGGCAAAAACAAAAGTGAAGGGAAAACAGACAGCCCAACAATAATAGGGGGATATTTCAATACCTCAATTGCAAAAATGGAAACAGAAGACCTGAACAATATATTAACTAGACCTAACAGACATCTTTAAAACATTCCACCCAACAGAGAATAATATGCATTCTTCACAAGTACACATGGAACAGCCTCTAGGACAGATCAAATGTTAGACCAAAACAAGTCCGAATATATATAAAGACAGTAAAATAATATAGAGTATGTTCTCCAACCACAATGGAATGAAACTAGAAATCAGTAAGAGAAGAAAATCTGAAAAATTTGAATATGTGGAAATTAAACAACACACTCCTAAACAACCAATGAGTCAAAGAAGAAATCAAAGAGAAATTAGAAAATGTTTTTATGTGAATGAAAACAGAAACACAACACACCAAAATTTAGGGCATATGGTAAAAGCAGTGCTCATAGGGAAATCTATAGCTGTAAATTCCTACATTAAAAATGAAGAAAGATCTCAAATCAACAACCTAACCCTCCATCTGAAGAAATTATAAAAAGAAGAAAAAACTTAACCCAAAGCAAGCAGAGGGAAGGAAATACTAAAAATTGGAGTGGCAATAAATAATACAGAATAAACAGAAAATCAATGAACAAAAGTAGTTCTTTGAAAAGAACAACAAAATTGGCAAACTTTAAGCTAGTCTGACCAAGAAAAAAAGAGAGAAAACTCAAATTACTAAAATCAGAAATACTTTCAAAAGTGAGGACATCACCACCACCCTTACAGAAATAAAAAGGATTATAAGAGAACACTATGGACAATTATATGCCAACAAATTAGATAACCTAAATGAAATGCACAAATTCCTGGAAAGCCATAAACTACCAAAACTGACTCATGAAGAAAGGGACATTCTGAATTAACCAATAACAAGTAGAGATTAAATCAGTTTAAAACCAAACCAAACCAAAGGGCAACAACAAAAACTTCCAACAGAGAAAATCCCAGGCCCAGAAAGCTTCACTGGTGAATTTATCAATGTTTAAAGAATTAAAATGAATCCTTTCCAAACTCTTCCAAAAAAGAGAAGAGGACAGAGTACTTCCTAACTTAGTCTATGAGGTCAGTGTTACCCTGGTATCAAACCATACGAAGACATCAGGAGAAATGAAAAAGAGACCGATATCCCCTATGAATATAAATGCAAAAATCCTCAACAAAATACTAGCCAACCCAATCCAGCAGCATGTTAAAGGGATTATACCCCATGGGCAAGTGGGATTCATCCCGGGAATGCAAGGTGGTTTAACATACAAAACTCAATCAAGGTAATAGAGAAAACAGGATTATCTCAACTGATACAGAAAAAATGTTTGACAAAATTGAACACCTCTCCATGATTTAAAAAAAAAAAAAAAACTCAGGATGTTAGAAATAGAAGGAAACTAGCTCAACCTGATAAAGGGCATGTAGGGAAACCCCCCAGCTAACATCATCCTTAATGATAAAAGACTTGATGCCTCCCCACTAAGATCAGGAACAAGACAAGGACATCTGCTCCCGCCACTTCTATTCAACACTGTACTGAAAGTTCTAGCTACGGCAATTTGGCAAGGAAAAGAAACAAAATCATCCAAATGGGAAAGGAGGAATCTAAACAATTTCTGTTCACAGATGACATGATCCTATGCATAGAAAATTCTTTTTTTTTTAAAGATTTTTTAATTTATTTGCCAGAGAGAGAGAGATTGAGAGCACAAACAGGGGGAGAAGCAGGCTCCCTGCTGAACAAGGAGCCCAATGAGGGACTCAATCCCAGGACCCTGGGATCATGACCTGAGCCGAAGGCAGACACTTAACCTGCTGAGCCACCCAGGCGTCCCTGCCTAGAAAATTCTAAAGAATACACACACACACACAAAAAAACTGCAGTCGCTAATAAATGATTTTAGTGAAGTTGCAGGATACTAAGATCAACATATAAATATCAATTGTATTTTAGTTCACTAGCAGTGAACAATCTGAAAATGAGATTAAGAAAACCATCCCATTTACAAAAGCATCAAAAAGAATAAAATACTTAGAAATAAATTTAATCAAAGGTGGTACAAGACTGGTACCCTAAAAACTACAAAACATCTTTTAAAGAAACTGAAGAAGACTTAAAATAATTGAGATATCTTGTGTTCATTGATTGGAAGGCTTAATTTTTCAGTTGCTAATACTCTCTAAACTGTTCTACAGATTCAATGCAATCTCTACCAAAATTTCAACTGCCTTTTTTTTTAACTTTTTTAAAGATTTTATTTATTTGAGAGAGAGAGAGTGCATGAGTGGGGGGAGGGGCAGACAGAGAAGCAGAGTCTCCACCGAGTGGGGAGCCCGATGTGGGACTTGATCCAAGGACCCTGGGATAATGACCTGAGCCAAAGGCAGACACTTAACGGACTGAGCCACCCAGGGGCCCCTCAACTGCCTTCTTTGTAGAAATGGATAAACTGATTCTAAAAATCATATGGAACTGCAGGGGACCACGAATAACCAAAACAATCTTGAAAATGAACAACAAAGTTGGAGGACTCTTATTTCCTGATTTCAAAGCTTTGATCAAAGCTACAGTAATCACAAAGAGTATGGCACTGGCATAAGGACAGACATATAGGGGCGCCTGGGTGGCTCAGTCGTTAAGCGTCTGCCTTCGGCTCAGGTCATGATCCCAGGGTCCTGGGATCGAGCCCCGCATCGGGCTCCCTGCTCAGCGGGAAGCCTGCTTCTCCCTCTCCTACTCCCCCTGCTTGTGTTCCCTCTCTCGCTATGTCTCTCTCTGTCAAATAAATAAGTAAAATCTTAAAAAAAAAAATAAGGATAGACATATAGATCACTGCAGGAGATTTGAGATAGAAATAAACCCGTGCATCTGTGGTCAATTTGGGTATACCAAGGGTACCAAGCCCAGGGATCCAGGGACATCTCACCACCAGGGTTCTGTGGCATGACCTAGAGGGCCTAGAGAGCAGCAGATTGAAGATGACCACAGCCAGGGAAAGGGTCTCAGCACAGTGGCCAGAAGAATGGACAGCAGAGAGCTCAGTGAATGGAGACCAGGTTGAACCAACTCTGCAGGTCAGAGGAGCCCTGAAAGGTGACACCACCCCAAGGTGGGACAGCCTGGCCCCCACACCACCTCACTGCCCCAGTATGTCTCCTCACTGTCCTCTATCTAGAATGCAATTTGAGTTGCCTGATTCCCGTCCGTTTATTTTTCCTGTCCCCCACAGCCTTCCCTGACACCTAAAGGCCCTCTCTCTGTTCTCCATAACACTGTTTCTGTCCCCAATGAATTTTCTCTCTCCTCATTTAAATCCCGTCTTCCCTTAATTTTTTCTTGACTCCTTATGACCTTGCCTTTTGCCACTATGACACTGAATACTTGTAACACCCCATCCCCACTGCTCTTTATCCCTCTACACAAGCTCCTCCATTTAACCTGCAGTGTGTCCCCTATAAGCTCTCCCAGTCCTCCTATAACCCTCTCCCATTCCCCCATTAACCCCCTCTCTGTCCTCCCTTAATTTGACCCTGGTGCCCTACCAGTCCCCTTCCTTTATCCTCTAACCAGCTCTCTTCCCTCCTCACCCCCTCTCTGTCCACATATGATCCTACCCTGGTCTTAACTTCCCCACTCTTTCTCGAAAGCGCTCCGCTTAACCTAAGGAACTAGGGCCTGGAAGTTGCCATGGGGGGATGACGTCATGGGGCGTGGTCTCTGTGCTCAACAATATTCCCTTTGCCCTCTGTTTCCTCGATGTGATTGGCTGTTAAAGTAGAAAGGGTGGAGTCCCAAGTGTTTAGTTCAGATTTCTTCTTCGTTCCCTTGAAAATGAGGCTGACACCTAGGAAAACCTCTTCTCCTGAAAGAATTGGGTGGAGCTTTATTTGCATTTATCCTCCGGCTGGAACTCCTGATTGGTTCAACGTGTAAAATATGTGGGTCTCACTCACCGGCAGGTATATCCGTGATTGAACCTCTGATTGGTTCCATGCATCCAGAGGACAGGATTTATGAACTTATTAAACATATTTTAATTAGGAGCCTACTGTGTGTCAGGCCCTGTGCTCAGTCACCAGGGAACAGTGGTGACCAAAGCAAACAAGGCCATGGTTCTTCTGGAGTTAATTCATGGGGGAGATGGAAAATAAACAGCCAAATAGCCCAGAGGACTTCAGAATGGGCCAGTGACTATGATGGTCATAGTTAGAAGGAAGGAGGGAGGCCTGACAAAAGAGGGAGGCACCATTTGAGCTCAGATGTGCAGGATGAGCTAGCCAAGAGCACATCTGGGGGAAATGAAAGAGTTCAGGCAAGGGGACAGTGAGAACAAAGGTCCTGAGGTGGGAGTGAGGTTTGTGTGTTCTGGGAGCAGGAACAAGAGCTCTGTGGTTGGAGTGGGGGAGTCAAGAGGGGAGGATGTGTGGAGGGTAGAAAGCGGACTATGCAGGGTTTGGACATCTGAGTGAGGGTTTGGATTTGATCCTAATAGCCACGGGAACCTCCTAGAGGCTGTAAATCTGGGAGAGATGAGATGTGATTTAGATTGTGGAGAAGCTCTGGCTGCCCTGCACAGAATGAAAAGTGGGAGGCAGTAGGTTCCTGGCAAATGAGGAACCCTCACAAAGCAGAAGCTGGGTCTAGGGGTGAGCAGGGCAGGTGTCAGGGAGGTGCCCCCACTTCCAAACTTCATAGGAGCATTCTCTGAAATAAGGCATGGCTGACTATGGTCTGTCCGCTTTCTGGCTTATCTGGGTCCCCCTCCTGCCCCTGCTCAACCAACTTTGGTGTAGGTCCAGTGCCCACCCCAGGAAAAGCAAAGTCCTCTCAACTCTTATCCTGGGGTCTTAGAGTCACTAGGACACACTTCTTCCCCTACCCTATACAACCCTGTATCACCAGGCCCCTGCAGACCTCACAAACCTCAGCTCTACCCTCTCTCCTCTGACTCACTTCACCCCAAACTAAAGCCCCCAGAAACAGTCTTGCCTGGCCATTGGAGCCAGGGACAAAAGGAAAAATGTGCACCCTACTATATACATGTTTGGTTTTTTTTTTTTTAAGATTTTATTTATTTATTTGACAGAGACAGAGAGAGAGAGAACACAAGCAGGGGGAGTGGGAGAGGGAGAAGCAGGCTTCCCGTCGAGCAAGGAGCCTGATGCGGGGCTGGATCCCAGGACCGTGGGATCATGACCTGAGCCGAAGGCAGACGCTTAACGACTGAGCCACCCAGGCGCCCCCTGAAACTGCTTTTATAAGACATCACTGTATTGTTAAAGAAAAAAAAAAAACTCTCAAGTTCACTTTCAAATTTGGATAAGATTGTACTAAGCAAAATTTGTGCATCAGGTTTAGAAGATCCAAACCTGACACTGATAAGACAAGTTACCGATATGCCATACTGCTTACAACTATTTCAGATTAAATTTCCACAGTGCTTGAAGCACCAGAATACTTAAGATCCAACTCAGCAGCAGATTAATTTCGGTAGGTAGAAATTTAAAATCTTAAGACACTGGGGCACCTGGGTGGCTTAGTTGGTTATGCGTCTGCCTTTGGTTCAGGTCATGAACCCAGGGGTTCTGGGATCGAGCCCTAGGCTAGGCTCTGTGCTCAGAGGGGATTCTGCTTGTCCCTCTGCCCCTCCTCCCGCTCCTGCACACACACTCTCTCTCAAATAAATAAAATCTTTTTAAAAAATTAAGACACTTTGTTTAATTTTTCATATATCCAGTTCAATGTAAAACTAGGATGTCTATAATCTAATTTGTATTAAGTGATTATATAATTACATTATAAGAGTGATGAACACTTTTCTTATAATAATTGATACTCTCTAGTGATTAATACATTTCCATTTTTTTTACTTTTTTGTTTATATTCAAATTTGGCACAACTGTTCATATCTCTTGCTGTTCATCCAACATATTTTCAAAGTAACTTTCATTTATTATAAGCAAAGGACTCAACCTTCTATTAAGTGTAGAGCCTTTATATACAGACATCTTTTTTAAATTATGGAACTTTACTAACCTTTCTACCTGTTCAATAGATTTTCCCATACAGATAGATAGCATAAATACTTGTAATCTATTTGCACCAAGATGTTCCTGATTTCAGCATAATGTATTTTGTCATCTGATCTCACATCTTTTAACAAACGCTTTTATTTTTTGTGCAGTGCCTTGATTTCTTTCAATCTTGATGGTCACTGGGTATCCGTGTTTTTACAGTGGTTTATTCTTTTGTACAATTCATTTTTTTTTAAAGATTTTATTTATTTATTTGACAGAGAGAGACACAGTGAGAGAGGGAACACAAGCACGGGGAGTGGGGGAGGGAGAAGGAGGCTTCCCGCTGAGCAGGGAGTGGGGCTCAATCCCCCGACCCCGGGACCATGACCCGAGCTGAAGGCAGACGCCTAATGGCTGAGCCACCCAGGTGCCCCCTTTTGTACAATTCTAAAAAAAAGGTTACTGTTTTTAATTCACTGAAGCAGCATTTTTGCATATTAAATTAAGAGTATGAGCTGAGAAAGATACATATTTAGCAGAATCATGTTTTGGGGAGATACTGATTTGTACACCTTGTACATATTTGCCCTGTTATCATACTCTACTTTGCACTTAACTGTCATGACTCCTAGGCCTCCTCTGGTCTGTGAGAGTTTCTCACTTGTTTTTAATGACCTCGGTGTTGAGGTCAGGTATTTAAGGATAACATCCCGTTGAGCAGGGAGACCCATGCGGGGCTCAATCAGAGGACCCCGAGATCATAACATGAGCCAAAGGTTGGGCGCCTGGGTGGCTCAGTTGGTTGGGCAACTGCCTTCGGCTCAGGTCACGATCCTGGAGTCCCGGGATCGAGTCCCGCATCGGGCTCCCTGCTCAGCGGGGAGTCTGCTTCTCCCTCTGACCCTCTTCCCTCTCGTGCTCTCATCTCTCATTCTCTCTCTCTCAAATAAATAAATAAAATCTTAAAAAAAAAAAAAAAAACATGAGCCAAAGGCTGACACCTTCATTATGTCACATAATTACTACGTTTTTTTGTGATGAGAACATTTAAGATCCACTCTTTCAGCAACTTTCAAGTACATAATAGAGAGATAATATAATATATAATATAAATATAATATATAATCACTATGTTGTACATTAGATCCCCAGAACTTATTTACCTTCTAACTGGAAATTTGTACCCGTGAAGTCTCAGCTCTTCACTAGCCCTGCTGACAGAGGAGTGAGGAGGAAGGTAAATCTTAGTGGTACAAGCCTACTTCTCACTGCCTCCTGGGTGGGGAAATGTGATAGCATCTCCCTGCTTGGGCCCACAGATACTGCCCCTGCTGGACAATCAGGGCGTTGTCATCTGCTTGGGCCAGATGAGGGATGGAAGGTTCCCCCACTCAGCTCCAATAAAACCATGGAGAATTGAGTGTGTGTGTTGGGGGGGAGGGGTATCTTCTGTTGGTGTTTGGCTGGAGTAGGGCAGGTATTGCCAAGAACATTTCCTGTTGGTAGGCCCCCCTTTTCTCTGTCCTTTGGCTACGGGAAACAGCTTTTCTTTGGTGCTCTTTATGTCTGTTCTTTTTTTTTTTTTTTAAAGATTTATTTATTTATTTGAGAGAGCGAGAATGAGAAAGAGAGAGAGCACATGAGAGGGGGAGGGTCAGAGGGAGAAGCAGTCTCCTTTGCTGAGCAGGGAGCCCGATGTGGGACTCGATCCCGGGACCCCGGGATCATGACCTGAGCCAAAGGCAGTCGCTTAACCGACTGAGCCACCCAGGCGCCCACTTTATGTCTGTTCTTGTTGGCAGTTCTGGGTCGGAGGCATCCTGTGCAAGATATATGGGGAGGAATAAACCCAGGAGACTCACCACTGTATGGGTCTTCCATTTCTGACGTCACTAGGTTGTCCTCTTCCTCCAGTACCCCTTTCAGAGTCTTCCTATCCTTATTTGTTGGGTTATATCCAGGGATTTTAGACGTCAGAGGGAAGAGCTGGGAGGAATGGGGCTTTGCCCTCTTAGTGGAACTGAAGCTTCTATATTCTTGCTTTTTTAAAAGATTTTTAAAAAATTTTTAAGTGATCTCTATACCTAGCATGGGGCTCAAACTTACAACCCCGAGATCAATTGGTTCTACCAACTGAGCCAGCCAGGCGCTCCTATATTTTCTTTTGTATATCAGCCGTTCTACTCTTTTGCCCATTTTGTAATTATGTTGTCTACCTTTCTGGGTTATGTATGTATGTATTGATATAATTCACATACCATAAAATTCACCATTTTGAAGTGGATAATTCAGTGGATTTTAGTATATTCACAAGATTGTGCAGCCATCACCACTGTCTAATTCCAGAACATTTTCATCACCCCAGAAAGGAACCTCATAACTATTAGTAGTCATTCCCATTTCTGCCCCCACCCCCTGGCAAACACTAATCCACTTTCTGTCTCTATGAATTTGTCTGTTCTGGACATTTCATGTCAATGCAGTCATGTAATATGTGGTCTTGTGTGTCTGACTTCTTTCACTTAGCATGTTTTCAAGGTTCATTCATATTATAACACATAACAATACTTCATTCCTTTTTATGGCTGAGTAACGTTCCATCGTATGGATAATACCACATTTTGTTTACCCATTAATGTGTTCATAGACATTTGGGT